TATTTGAAAAGTCACAAAGGTGCCATTGTTATCTTACATAGTACCATCATTTTCTTAGAAAGAATATATATATATATATATATATATATATATATAACAACATGCATGCATGGGCTTATATCACTGATTCAGTGAATAATATTTGAGAAAGTGAGCAGATCCTTTCAAATGCTTGGACCTTAGAGTTGGAGATTTTCGGAGAAGAATATCCAACAACATCTTTGGCCCTGTTTGGTAAAATGGCTGTTAGCTGATAGCTGTTAACTGTTAGCTGATTGTGTTAATTAGAATGTATAAATAGTTGATAACATTAGCTGATTGTAGAAAAGTGTTTGGTAAATTAGCTGTTAGCTAATAACTGTTTGGTATAATTTATTTTCTCAAAAAACTAATTGAAAAAGTTGCTTGGAGTAGCTTTTTGAATTTTAGCTTTTTGAAGTTGCAAAAAACTAATTAACCAAACATTTATATTGATATTTTAACTTAATCAAGCAATTAATAGTGATCAAAAAAGCTAAAATTGACCTATAGGCCAATTTTTTCCCAAACAGGGCCTTTGTCTTAATTGCAAAATAGCTTTTTCAAATTATTACATTAATATGAACAATTTTATAATGTCAAACAAAAAAATAGTACTGTAATAAATATTTCAGAATGGCATAATTATTGCATAAACCCCTGCCGGGTTTTGGCTCCCTTTTCTCTCTCTCCTGCTTCAGCTGTATGTTGCCCCGCTCCAGACTTGTACTCTCACTCTCCATCTCTCTCTTAGTACAAGTGCGAAGTGTGTATTCCTATATGGTTATATATCTTAAGACCCTTTGATTTGTAGAGGTGGGGAGGGGGAGCTATAGTCTATAGAGGATGAAAGGTCCATTTGGAGCAGTGGTAGGTAAGTGCCCTTCAAGTGATGGGAATGGTGAAGTGGACGGTGGCAGTGGGGGTATTGTAAAAGGCAAGAGGAAATGCAGAGATGTGGCGTTTCTGGTCATCTTCATTGCCTTCTGGGTGGCTATGATTGTCAATTCCAGCTTTGGATTCAACCAAGGAAACCCATTGAGGTATAACAACTCAAAGCTGATTGCTTTTTACTGTTATTCTTCCTTTTTTTTTTTTTTTTTTTTTTTTTTTTTTTTTTTTGGTTCTACTACGGAGTATTATTTTATTGAAATCCTTCCTGCTTTTTGTCTGTATGCATTTTGATCATTTACTATTAGATTATAGTCTTTCTTGTAAGAAAGTTGTGTTCTTTATTCTTTTATAAGTCCAATGGTGGGTTGATGTTCCTTTATATGCGTTATGATTTATTTATTTATTTATTTATTTTTAACTTCAGGACAGTTTCAAATGTTGGGCTTTATGTATGTTAGACAAATTTACTTCAAGTGCGGTTGTTTTTTCAGAGTGTGTAGGCAAGACTAAGTACATTTCAGTTAAGAAGAGTGGAGTGGCACCTACATAAGCCTAAAATGGGCTTGCTGGTGGTGTCTAAATTTGATGAATTCAAAAAATGATACCTTCTGGGTTTGAAATCTATAAATCTTTGGCAGTCTGGAGATTGATCCATGTGCTGAAGAGCTTGTTTTGCTTGCTCTTTCAAACCATACCATACACACACGCGTGTGCGCTTGTGCACACATATGTATATGTATATCAGTATATGTAGGCATGTATATCATGTATGTGCCCCTTGTAACTTGTGCTTGGACATGTAATCGCTCATGGTTGTGCTTTGTTTGGTTTGGCAGGCTAACTTATGACCTGGACTATAAAGGCAACATTTGCAATGACAGACATGCAGAACTTGACCTTCGTGAGTTGGAACTCAGATATTGGCTAAACCCAAATGTGGTTTTCCAAAGTGGTTTGAAGGGCAGCCATGTCCAGCTTGCCAATGCCCGAAGTATTTGCTTGATGGACTGCCCTAATCCCTCAGAAGACTCGCTAATTTGGGTCTGTGACTATCCAGAGGGTGACATTCATCTCTCTGTTGATGACTGGATTGATAGAAACTATGATTATTTTGAGGACCTTACTCCTGATTTAAGGAACACTTCTCTTCTGCTTCAGGGTCCTTGCTACCCAGTCTTATTTCCTACTGTTAATGGTAAGTTACGAACCTACTTTCGTTATTTTGTCAGTTTTCATTCAGAAAATCTCTTGGCTCCGGGCTCCTCCTGCTTCTTAATTCTAATTGGTTTAATTTTAATTTTACTCTTAACCTTGCCATGCCAGTTTATAAGAGCTGTCAAATTATCACCCGTGCATCAAATGTGTCTTTGCGGCATTGGAAGGAGATGGGTGGACTAGACATTATAGAAGAAATTGTAATAGATAAATACATTCACAATTCCATCAACTCGCTGTCATCTGTCCTAAAGGTAAGTTACTTTAACACCGTGTACATCTTTTCTGCTCTATCAAAAGATATTACATTGAAATATTTACTGATCTTTACCTCTCTTTTTTTCCTCCTTCCACCTTTCTGTTTTTAATAGTCAACAGAAAGTATAAATTTTGGGTTGCCCCTAAACTTGGTGCTCTTCTTTTTCTTCATGTTAATTTAACACTACTCTCAAATCAGGATTTGTTTATAAAGTTTCAATATTATGTTATTTGATTTCTCTTTGCAGAGATATATAGCTGATGTTGCAAAATCATGGCCTGTCTTGATTGTTTGTGGAGGAATTTTGCCAGTATTCCTGTCAATTATATGGCTTTTGATGATCCATCACTTTGTTGCTGCTATGCCATGGATAACAGTTATCCTTTTCAATATCCTCGTTATATCAGTTACAATGTTCTACTACTTAAAAGGTTAGGAGATGTCTTTACCGGTAAATGATCTAAGATGGCTCCCTGCTTATTTGACCAGTATTAACTGTTTGACTTGGTTAAATAATCAATATGAGTATTTGATTAATTAGCTTTTTGTAATAACTTATTGCTTCACAATGCTAAAATTCAAAAAGCTACTCAAAGTAGTATTTTCGATCAGCTAACAGCTAACAGCTAACAGCTAATTTACCAAACACTTTTCTACAATCAGCTAATGCTATCAACTAATCAAACACACTAACCCAAACAGCTAACAACTATCAGCTAACAGTAAATGCCTTTCATGGAGTGTAGTAAATGTGTATTCATGTTTCTTATTTCCAGCTGGATGGATTGGAAATGATGCGATATCCCCCATAATTGGACAACATGATCCATATTATCATGTATCTGCAAGGGTATGCATGGATTCTGTTTGATTTCTCTTTAATTGCTTTTCATTATCTTCCTCTGCTATTTATTTGGTTGTTCAACTTTTTAGGAGGTAACTCATCTCCATGTTGCTGCAATTATTATGACTGCTGTCATGATTATTGCCTTTTTATCATCTATTGCCATAGTCCGACGTATACTTACAGCAACATCTGTTTTGAAGGCAAGTTCATCATATCTTCCCTCCCAAGCAGTAAATAACATTATGGTTTAGGATCATAGTACCTTATTGTGATGCATCGAAACATGTCCTACCACAGGTTGCTGCAAAAGTCATTGAAGTAAAAGCACTAATAATCTTCCCCATGATTCCCTATGCTGTCCTTGCAATCTTTTACGCGTTCTGGTTCTCAGCTGCTTTCCATCTTTTCAGTTCTGGGCGGGTTGTCCAGAACGAATGTAGCACTAATTGCTGTGCTTATGATCTTAAAGAAAAACGGGTGAGCTGTGAGGGTTGCTGTGGCTATAGCATCCAACAGACTCCACATATTGCGGCTGCAATTCTTTTCCACCTATTTGGCTGCTACTGGGCTACACAATTTTTCGTGGCATGCTCTTCTGCTATCGTTGCAGGGTCGGTTGCTTCATATTATTGGTCTCGAGGCAAAACATCGGTGAGGCATCTTTTGTTTATGAGTTTTATGCAGCCCAAGTTCAGTAGCCTGTAGTTGACTCCGTTTTACCATTGCAATGCAGCCAGAGAGTCCATTTGTCTCGGTTTTCTCCTCAACGAAGCAGCTTATACGCTACAGCATTGGGTCTGTTGCTCTTGGTTCTTTGATAGTATCCTTAGTCGAGTCTATCCGGTTCATACTTGAAGCACTTCGTCGCAAACTTAAAGTTTCTAGTTCTAGATCAGAAAACTGGGCGGGGAGGATGGTGTTTTATACCTCTCAGGGTTGCTTGAAGTGCATTAGCTGGATCGTCAAATCTGTGAACCGTAATGCTTATGTAATGGTAAGTAGGAATTATTGCATTTACTCATAATTCACTTTTTGTTTACATATTAGCCAATGATATTTACCTTAGGTACCACATCTCTATGCTTGAGCAAGAACATTAGATTTTTCTTTGCCTAATATATCAGAATCTTCTGCCATTATACATATCAGTACTCTTTAATGTGCTTGCGATTCTTACAGATAGGTATTACGGGAAAGAGCTTCTTTAAAGCTTCTGAGACAGCCACAGAACTCATTATAAGTAACATTCTTCAGATAGGAAAGGTGAATGTTATTGGTGATGTTGTCCTCTTTCTCGGGAAACTATGCGTGAGTCTTGCAAGTGCACTTTTCGGGTTTCTCATGTTGGATGCTCACAAGTACAAGTCCACACATCACAAGATCTCCTCCCCGCTATTTCCTGTGCTGGTACGTCTATGATTCTCTCTTGCAGCTCATAAGTAATGCTGATTTAAGAGGTATATATAGATCTTGTGAACTGGGTTTTGATGCTCTTTCGTGAACTGAACAGGTATGCTGGAGCCTCGGGTATGTTGTGGCTTCGCTTTTCTTTGCAGTGGTGGAGATGTCGATCGATACCATCATCCTTTCGTTTTGCCAAGACTCTGAACTGCACCATGGAACTGCCCAATACGCCCATCCTTTGCTAATCGAGACTTTGAATGACCAAAATGAGATGCAAGGACTTGCAGAATGATCATTTTGATGCAAAACTGCATTGTGTCAGGTAAAATATGGAGTGATGGAATGGTTATAACCAAGTTGTGCTCAAATTTTCATGGTTACTCTTGTACATTAGTAGGTTTCTCTTTTCAACACCATACATTCTTATACATTTAAAACCTGACATGTATATTGCACATGTATGTTACAAGAACAATCTATCAAAGTATTAGTGGGAATCATTCCAGTTTCCATTTCTCTATCGTTGCATTCAATCTTTTTCCAGTTCTCTTCTTATAGGCATTGAAGAGGATCTCGAAATTACTTCTGTAAGGAACCTAGGTGGATCACTGAAAGAGATAGAAGCACAGGGTCGAATGAGAGGTGTAACAGCACGACTCGAGGCTTCGTTAACGTTCATGCAAGGACCACCTTCTTCAACAATACTGGGAGCCTGCAATTCAATCCCTGCATTCGTGCCATAGCTTTTTCGAGGGCTATCAAGCGACCCGTGATCATCGTCTTCCTCAACAGACAACACCGTGCTCGCATCAGTGTGCACCGTTGTTGAATCATCATACATGCTTCGATGATGATGATGATGCCTTCTCTTCCTCCTCGCTGCCTTCCCCCAACCATGCATCGTTTCTCTTATTCTCTGTGGGATAAGGGCCGCCTTATAGTTCGTTCCCATCTGGTTTGTAGAGCAATACACCTCGCTGATTAGTTTGTTCTTGCACATTTTCTCACAATCTCAAATTATTTTTGAAACCATAATTTTACCTGAGTAACCAGTGCATAGAGTGGTAAGGTGCTATAGCTGCATAGAAACTGCCCCGCAAACCTGAGTGGTGAAGAATAGAATTAGCCTCAACTACCATGAAAGTCGAGTCACGAGAAAAAAGATTGAAAATGTTGCATACCCTAATATTAGCCGTAGATACACTAGTGTGTGGTTGAATATAAAGCAAGAATTATAGCCAAACTGCCACTGCAATAAGGAATAGCTCCATTAAGAATTATAGCCAAATGCTAACTCATCTTGATCTCAGAACTAAAAGAAATAGGAGTAAGGGATTTACCCAGAACCAGAAGAACGAAGCTAGCTCAAACGCATTCTGCAATGAAAGACACAATACATTTCAGCACAAAAATTTACGGTTGAAAAGAACAAAATGAGGAATAAATTAGTATCGACCTGGAAGAGGACAAAGTGAATCAGGGATAGCAGTAGTTCTGGCTTCTTGAACCAAAAAAGTTCGTCCCTCGGTTTTAGCTTTGCTCCCGGGAAATAGCCAGTTATTCCAGCACTCTCCAACGCCAATGTTGCTATGACGTGTTGCAGTTTTGTGCCTACCAGTAGAACAAGCTGCCAAGAAACGGCGAAATCAGGGAAAGATTGAACGAAACTTGCCTGTATATACCCTCCTTTTTATATCAATTGTCACTCCCAAATACCCAATAAAAATGATTTGCAGAAATAGAAGGAAAAACTAAAATAACTCACAGTGATTGGAAATAGTGCAATCCAGAAATAAAGATTTGACCCTGCGAATTAAACAAAACGAGGATGAGCATATCAACAAGGTCTAATTTCTTAGGAATGGGTGGGGAAGTATTCCTTATTAATTTAAAACAGCATGAATTAACAGTTCTTCAAACTCGAATGATAAGTGATATGGAGTAATATTCTATACCTTTGACATTAAACATCATAAAAGCAACAACGAATCCCCAGAGTGGTGCACTACAAAAATACAAGATAGAGGAGTATCAAAAACAATTCTATGCAAAATCTCCAATAGTATCATCTAAAGATGTAATAAATCAGCTGTAGAAACCACAATGTGGTCCGGGTCTTTCTCTGTCCGTTTAACGGTCCAGGTCCACCCAGTTCACTCCGAGAGGCACAGAAGCTGGCCCAGAGGGAATCATCACGTGTGGAAATTGAACTCAGGTTATCCTGGAATCTCCCCCACAAAGAGAGCTCATTTGCCATTTGAGCTACCCTCTTGGGTTTTTGTTGTATTATATTACACAAAGGTTACATATGAGAAGGAAAAATGTATAAGAAATGCAATCGTCTTCTAGATACAATATAAATGTCGGCTTTTCTGATGTTTATGCTTACCTGACACCGACTATTCTTTGGAACTCTTCTTCCATGGATCGAATCATATAGCTATGAAAATCATATTTTGATGTAAGGTTGTGGTTCTGTCAGGAATTCAAAGAAACAACCCCTATAACGATCAATAATTCAATATAACTTTGAAATTACAGTACAAATAAATTACGAGGAAACAAAAGCTTGTGTTGTAAAATAAAGTGGAGCATAAAACAAACTGTCTGGATGATGATGGATATAAAGACATGCTCAAGAATAAGGAAAATGATTAAGCTGTTAATCTTAAGAGGATGCTCTAACGGATTCACAACAAATAAACGCCTGCTAAGACTAATTCCAATAAAATTTACTATAATTCCTCCAAGCTCATTCCTAAGGCCTTCTTCCCCATTTATAAACTTGCAATGGTGTAGTTAAGTTCTGTCCACTGTTGCATACCATAATAAAACCCTTCCGTAGTGAAAGGTAATCAGCACGAACAACTGAACGCCCAAATTGCCTGAAGAAACATGTCTGCAGAATGTGTATATATTACCAAAGAAACGTGTTAGATTTATGAAGTCACAAAATTGTAGTTCTGTACCCAAAATGAAGAAAGGGCAAAATCTTCTTCTAGGGAAGGTAAGGATAACTGAATTTCGCATGTTGGAAAGAACTTTTTTTACATAGAAATACTCAAATGCGTCGGGAAATGTAAGTATTAGTATTAGTATTAGTATTGTGACATATATTACACATACCACCCAAATGAGAACACTATTCCTAGACATAGGATTCGATGTATGGACTCTAACAAAAGTTGACTGCCTTCGCATTGTCATTGCTCTTGTCCTATCTGTAAGACCAAAACAAAAACAAAAACAAAAACAGAAACAAAATGAGGAAAAATAAAACAAAAAAGAAAAGAAGAATATCATCATTTATTTCCCTTTGCAGCTTTGCTCGAACACATAAATTCTTCCTACCAAAAGGAATGAATAGTACAAGAAATCAAGAATCAAGTTTACAATTCTGTGTTTGCTAATATTGCTAGTATATTAAAGTCATGGTCTACAAATAGGGCAAGCCTTAATATTTGAGTGAGCTAATTTACCAATTCTCTAGACCTCTATTTTCCGTGCAGGATCATACTTCATGAGCGAGGTACCAATTTTTGCACTATTAACAGTCATTGCTATTTTTCTTCAAAAATAAATGAAGGCAGAAAAGTTAAGGACAAGAAATTGGAGACTAGTAGGTTCCACCTGGCAGCGATAACTTACCAGTTAATGCTCCATGTCGGTCCATGTGAGCTTCATCCTCCCAAACTCTCCAAGTATGAATCTGGCAAGAATCTTAGGTATCAAAAGACGAGCAACATCGAGTACATGAACAACAATCAATTAACCTCAGGAGGTGGAGAACAATTATGGTAATTTCATATGAATACAACCTTGACAATAGCCAGTAGCATTGTTAAGCAGCTGTAAGATATATGAGTAATGGCCATGACAAAGATGAAACGGTGCAGCTGCTCTAGGCCTTCATATGATACAAATGGCTCATGATTCTGCAGAAAAAGAATTTTTTTTTAAAAAAATTTTCGTTAACTCCTTTGGTTGTTTGGAAGCAAGAAAATGTATGGATAGAGGGAGAGGGAAAGACAGGGTGGAGTAAAGATGCAACGAACTAATGAATCAGTTTCTAGTCCTTTCAAATTTAGTTGCTCACTTGTGTTATTTGCAGCACAAGTGAATAACGTAAAACTAAAATATATCGTAACAAGTGTAGACTTATAATTTCAGAAGGAAAATTGACATGCCTCTGGACAGGTATTTTTGTTCAAGCTATTAAGCATTCTTCTTAATGGATGATCAAAAACAAGGTCCATCAAAAGTTTTCGCTTTTTGAAATCTTCATTTTCATTTTCTTCTTCAATTTCAGACTTTTTGCAAGGAGCAAATACACCATCATAATACTTCGATGGGATGCAAATATTGGATATAATGCTTGAGGTGGCCGTAAGTAGGAGAGAAATGAAGCCAAGTAGCATTAACTCTGCTCACAAACATTCAAACAAGGTTTTGGGTTAGAGTTGCAAAAAATATATTCAAAGGGGAATGGGATGAAGGAGAGAGAACAAGAGATGTCAAAGAGTTGAGTTGCAATATAAATTAATAGGAAGTACCTTCTTTCATTTTCTCCACAGCTGCAAGCAAAGGTTTTCTATCAGTTTTCTTCAGCCACTGAAAAAATAGAATTTATTCTAAGAACTTTTTACATTCAAATTATAGTTTTATATAAACCATTAAAACAAGGGCAAATATGCAGGGTATGGTAAGGTACTGCTTTGTTGTTTCACCAGTTTCCATTCTGAATATGTAAAAAACAAATTTGTCAAAAAGAGCAACTTTGCAAAAACAGGAGAAGATACAAATGAAATGGATTATATTACTATTAATACACAGAAATGTTAAATCTTCAGCACCATAGTTCAATATGTCAAGTCTCTCTAGGACTACTTATAGCTCAAAGTGAGAAAAGCTTATCACTTACATTGCACAATCGGTGTATAGATCGCTCCACGAGCAGTGAAACTACGACAAATACAGTTAACACAGTAGCAACAGACCATGTTGGTGTCAATGCCAATGATCGAAGTTCCTTCGAATTTTCTGATGCTTCAAATGACTTCGATTCAGACATCTTCACAAATGACTCTTATCAAAAACTTCACACCCTCAACTAAACCTCACCCTTACTTAAACTCCCAAAAATCAGAACTTCCACCTAAAAACAAAGCCAGGATGGTATGACCAACCAGGAGTTGCACTGTGAATCTTTTATACACCTTCACATTTAGTAGCACGCAAAGTTTGTAACTAAAATTCCTTTACCCCATGAGCTTCGGAGCCCAAATTTAGTACTGCAACATGACTGAGGACTGACAGTTGACTCTGCTCCAAGATCCAATCTTTAAGAAGAATACTTCAACTTGGACCATCAAAAAGCGTCGAACAAGCAAAAGGGGTATTCTTGATTAGACCCAGAGTAGAAATAAGAACATTCTTCTCCTTCATTAGCCCAATTTCACATTCACTGGCATATCCCCAGCTCCTGTAACAACATTTGGATTTCTACACCTATAACGGAATCAAAATCCCACTAAATCAGTAATCCCCCGGTTTACAAAAAAAGAAGAAACTGTTACTCCTTCGATATATAGCATACGAACAACTAAATGTTGATGTGTATAGCTTTCCGACAGAGACAGAAGACTATAAAAACAAAAAGAACCCACCTTTTTGGAGCAGAGAAATCAGAAAACTTAAAAGAGTGATGAAAGAGGATATGGGTTGGAGTTGATTCACATAACTTTACAGGTACAAAGGTTCTGCAGGTGGGGACAGAAAGGATTGTGAATAGCAAAATGCAGAGGTATCAAAGATTCTCTGGGGGCTAAGTTAAATGTATGAGGCTATGAGCTGGAAGCCTGAAAGGCTGAAACCTCCTGGAGTTAAAGAAAAATGGGGCTTCTACGTAGCTTCTTGGCTTTGGCTTTTATGTCCCACAATGAATGGAACCTTCACCCGGACAGATTTACACCATTTCTCTTTCCCTTTCCCAAGCACAACCGCACCACTGCTGTCGGGGGGACCGTCGGAGTGGTGAATCTTTGAAACTTGTGATGTAAATAAATGGTGGAGAGCGGAGAGTGAGGCCAAAACTTCAAATTTCCATAAGTAGGGACCCATTGATTCGGTAGACACGTACATCACCGTCTGTTATAGGACTTAGGTTGGCAAATTCGGAGCGACTTTCTTTATTACTCCATTATTTGGAGTAAAAACTGTTTGGTGTAAACATTTTGACCCATTAATTAGGACCACCAGCCCTTTATGTTCTGAACTGGCAAGTGTGAATACAAGTTTTTCCGTTGCACCACAAAAGGAGCACACCAGATTATGTGTAAATTCAATATTGTCAAGTATAGATCATGTGTTATTGTCTTGTAATCGATCTATTATTGTCTGTGCAGGCTAAATACATCTTTTGTCGGGTTAAAAGATGCTATTCATTTTAAATAACTTGTTAAACAATGATTAGCGTGCCATAGTTAAAGAATGAGTCATAAGCCTCTGGTGGAACGAGCTGAAAGATAGAGTTGTTGTTTTGAATAATGTGTAACAATAATGTGTAAGAATTTGAATTTAATTTGTCTGATTAAAAGATGCTATTCATTTTAAATAACTTGTTAAACAATCAAGGCACGATAACAATGAAAAAACACGACACATTAGCGTGCCAAAAAGGATTGGTGATGAGTCTTGATGTTGTGTGACAATTGACTTAAATCTAGTGCTTGAATTGAAGCATTGTTAGTATATAAAAACCGTTAGCATTTTCTTTTTTTTTTCTTTTTTTTTTCTTTTTTAATTACAACTCTAATATACTAGTTTTTATTACCGACTTGATGATACAAGTTATTATAATCAGTTGTATGCAATCTTTATTTGATTTATATTGGTTCAATAAGTACATAAAAGTTAACGTCAATAATGTGCATTGTCTAATTGTTGGAGAGTCAAAAACTATTATATGTATATTAAAAGCTTTGGGAGCATGTGAGCTTATTAATTTAAAAGACTTAAATTTTTGCATCCCGTAATTAACGCTGTTAAGGCCATATTTGACTCCACCCAAAAGAAAAAAAAAAGTTATGAAAATTAAAAGAGATGAAGCTCCCGTGTCACGTTTGACTACATCCAAAAGAAAAAAAGAAAAAAGGAAAAATCTGTTACTTTTAAATAAAATAAATAAATAAATAAATAAATATATATATATATATATATATATATATATATATATATATATATATATATATATATATATATATATATATATATATATTAATTTATTAAGTTTTTGTGTGAATATGACAAACCCAATTACACGAGACCATGAAAGTTAAGAGAAAAGGAACTCCTACATCATGTGAAATGCACAACTTGTTACAAACCTTTACGTTCCATTTTATATATATGCATGCTTCAATTAATAAAATTTGATTAGAGTTATTTATCTTAATCCAAATCACTCTATTGCTATTGCTTACTCTAGTTAACCTGCCTCACTATGAAACTTCTTCGCATTTTGCCTTTATTAATTAAACTATATATAATTTGTTTATATAATAATTTAATTTCATTAATTTGCTTGCATATGGTTACAAACATTCTACCATGAGACACATTTTGTCGATTATAGTAATATCTCGATTGTTAGAAAGTTTTATGGTATGTAATTATGATTTTACTTTTTGATGTTAGGTTGTTGTATGTATAAGTGGATGGAAACTTACCATAAAATTATTGAATTATTGTGTTTGTATATTATTACATTCATCACTTCTCATGGTCCTATATATTCCCATTTATAAAGCCGTTTAATTTTTATTTATTTATTTATAATTTTTTTTTTAAGTTGAGGGAAATGGAAGCTATCATAGCTAGCTGTGAATGTAGAGGATGCGATCAGACAAGGAGGCATTATATTGGCATGAATTTTAGTGTTATTTGCATGAGGAAATTAAAAGGTAATTAATAAGGAAAGAAAAGCCAGATACGATGAAAGATGGATCATTAATTTTGATGAAGAGATGGCAAAAGGATATGTAGGTGGATCTAGAACAATATTGGACGCACGTGGGAAATGGCAATCCATGCGTGCAAGAACGTGGATGCATGAACACACAAAACAAGAATCATTATCTAAATTCTGGGCAGCCAGGTAGGATTAATATAAATATATATGTTGCAAAACAGATATTAAAAACTGCATATTTCTGCAATTAACATATATAATTTCAGAACTCCACTGTACTTTCGACTGGATCGATCGATAAGGGAATTCACTGATTAGTTATATTATAAGTCAACAATGGCGTATACTATGCATGTCCATTTCCCATGTTGCGCATTTCATAATATGATGTTTCATTCTTGTTAGGATTAAAGGAGTATAATACTATGATGTGTTTTCGGATCCATCATGAACAAGTCTGGTTTAATAATTTATTTTGAGTTTATATATATATATATATATATATATATTATGTGTGTGTAGACCAGGTGCAAAGATAACTTCCCGGTGCGGTTAATACAAAAAGACACAGTTAATTACACAAATCATGTACCTTAAGCACACAAACAAAGCATATTAAGAACACAAACCATGCACATTAAGTTTCAACAACCGACGCATAGCATACAAATCACACACCTTAAAATGAAAACAACGCACCTTAAAAAGGAAAATCACGCATCTAAAGCTTTAAGCAAACGCACCTTAAGTTTTAACAACTAACTCAGATTAAGCACCTTAAGAAGGAAAACCACACACCTAAATCTCTAGACCAACACACTTTAAGTTTCAACAACTGACTCACCTTAAGCACAAAAACCACACACCTTAAGAAGAAAAATCACGCACCTTAAATTTGACATAGATGCAAAAAGACCAAATTGCCACCTCATTTTTTTAATCATTGTCAATCATGAACGTTGATTTAGACAATATGAATGACTCAAATTTAATCGCACAACCGCACAAAAAACACCCAACCACACGGGAGTTGAATTATATATATATATATATATATATATATATATATATATATATATATATATATATATATATATATATATATATATACAATTTTGCTTAAAAATACAATTTAATATCCTCTTGTTTTTACTACAATCTTTGTCACTAAATTAATATCTTTGTGAATAATAGACTTTTTAAAATAGTTATAAATTCAATAACATGGTTATACTAAAACAAAAGTATATTTACTAACAACAATAAACTTTAATCTTGCTCCATTCTAAAAGTATTGTCCACTTTGATTGGACATATAGATTTATGAGAGTATTTAATGTATTGACTAAGTGATATATTTATGTTTTTGTTCGCCATAACAAATGAAATGGGTTTTCTTTCTTTTTTTTTTTTTACTTATAATAAATACAGAGTACGCATTTTTTAATAAATATAAGTTATAAATGTTATTGTATTTATAGAAAATGATTTTTCTTTTGAGAACCCAATAGGAGGACAATTTTTATGTTATGTTTTTTTTTTTTTTTTTTTTTTTTTTTTTTTTTTTTTTTTTTTTTTAAATTGAACTCTTAAAAATTGAGTCTCTTAGTTGCACATGACTGGTGGGGCATTCTATTAAAAAAAAAAAAAAAAAGAGCAATATATTAGTAGAATTTTTGTTAACTGCCTCCATGGTAAACTTCTCTGGTTGAGTGGTTATGAGTTATGAGAACATGAGATTTGGGCCCTTAGACAAAGACGACCTGAATATTCATTAAAGTACTCTCCTCCATTAATTATTATTCTTCAATGTCCTCTACTTCTGTTGACTATGGAAAGGATTGGCTACCTTCTCTCTTCTTTTATATATATATTGCTTAACATTTTTCTACATCTCCTTTTGGCTACCGTCACTGTGTCACATACATCATCTTCCTTACATAGGACCATAATTTTTTCAATGTACATCACTAGATAGTGGCTATAAATTTTTTCCTTAATTTAAAAATTATAATTTCTTCTTTTCATTTGAATTCAAAGTAATATTATCTTAGAAAAAATTCGAGTCAAATAAGCTCATTAAATCAAATAAATAATGCAATTAAGTCTTTAATTAAAAAGATCCATCCAAACTCCCCTTAAACTAACAAAAAGTGTAATTGAATTATAATCTTAATTATCTGTTTAACATGTAAGTTTTTCAGTTGATTTATCAAATCAGTGCTACATTTTAATAAAATAACACATAGAAGTCATTTACGGTCAAATTAACGATAACATATTAAACATGTAACATTAAGTTTCAATAGCACTTTTTTGTCGAATTATGAGATTTGAATGATTTTTTTTTCTTCAGTTTAAAGATCAATGCTTAATTTGATTTTTTTCTTTCCTTATATATATATATATATATATATATATATTTTTTTTTTGAATTCTACTTACTCTATTACATTGTAGTATATGTTCATAACTACTTTCTCAATCTACTGAAACACAAAGAGCTACTAATGCCTCCGCCACGGAAGTTCGAACTCACAACCTCCCATATGGGAATCTAATCCGGGTGCCATCTGTGATTAAGTTTCAATAGCACTTATGGTCGAGTGATTAGAGTGAATTTCATATTTGGTCCTACTATTATAGGAGCTTTTCCAATTTTAGTCCACCATAATTATTTTTGTCACATTGCATCCACTATTATTAAAAGTGTTCCAATTTTAGTTAATTTTTAGATTTTTCGTGGACTAAAATTGGAACACTTTTAATAATAGTAAACGCAATGTGACAAAAATAATTATGGTGGACTAAAATTGGAATGACCTCTATAATAGTAGGACCAAAAATGGAATTCATTCGAGTGATTATTTCCCTAAAGTTATAAAATAATTTAAATAATTTCATTTTGTCATATTGTGCTTCCTAGCTTGTTGCAATTTATTAAAAAATAAAGACTATTTATTTTTATTAGTTATTTATGAAGTAATCACTCGACCATAGGTTTTTGTTTTTGTTTTTTGAAGGCCGGTACTCCAACATAAGTTTATAAGAGATTCATGCAATATTTTAATACAATGGTAACATGTCTAAAATGCTT